GGTGTCCCGTTGGGAGCAGAGAGCCGGGGCTGGCGGGGACAGGGAGACGCCGGGCAGCGGGGAGGGCGGAGGAGAGACGGAGAGGCTGGCGGGGCGCGGGGCTGGCGGCGCTGGCGGCGGTTCTGCCCGATGCGCAGGGCTGGTGGTCGGTGACCGTGGGGCCGGGACTGGGGCTGGGGTGGCCATGCAGGTCCCTCGAGGCTGCCGTCCTGCCTGGCTTCTTCACAGACCTCTGCCCCCGAAAAATCCTCCTGTCCCTTCCTCCCTCTACTCCGGAAAGCATTCTCTCGGAACACTCGTCGCTCTTTTCTTTGTTGAGCCGTTCCCGTTTCCTTGCTTTACTCTCTTCATAGAACTCATGTAGTCCGTCCTTCTCCTTTTCTTTCTCTCTTGCATTGCTTTGTCCCGCAGCCTTCCACTCATCTCTCCACCAAATACTAATGGACACTTTCCATTACTGAACACTTTGACATCCTCTTAAAATTCTACTCCGTGTGGTCCTGACTGCCTCTGGGCGATTTGTTCTGGGGAACAACATCCAGTGCATAAAGCAATTCTGACGGCTTTTCTTCTTTATCTCCCCAACCGTGTCTGCAGGAAGAGCCCAGGTGCAGCAGCACCACCGAGGGCAGCGAAATCCCCATCAAGTGCTCACAGCCCAACTTACGTGTCGGCGATTTTATCCATTTCTACCGGCAGCTCCCGGGCCACAACCCTGAACTCCTCGCACACCCCGCTAAAGGCTCGGCCCAGAGAGCTGCGGGCGCCAGCGGGGCGGCTGTCGGTGTCGGGAGACGGTCGCTGCAGCGTCCTCTGGCTCTCCGGGTCCCGTGTGGCGGAAGCGGCGTTGCATACCTTACGCCCTGGCACACATGGCCAGAGGAGCCCGGCTGCGGCCGGACACAAACCGCCGCGGGCGGGACCGGGGGCACAGCGCCGGCCGTGGGCAGCAGGGCTTTGTCACCTGCTGCCAATCCCACCTGAGCTCAGAGTCACTGACACCGTCGTCTTTGGAGCTCTCGGGGATTTTCTTAGACATACAAAACTCGGGTAATTGTTTCTACAGCGCCCCTATGAAAACACGGCGTTTCACTCCTACGCAAAGCAGGGGCTTGTGACAGAACCTCTGGCTGCCAAGTGACATACACAACAGAGCGCAGCGCAAGCCTGGGCATACGCCAGTCAGCTGCAATGCGTGTCCCTAAGTTCTCCTGAGCCATCGTCACCCGGATACTCTGATCCACTGCAGGCAGGCACCGAGATTCTCTGGTTGATGATGATCTTTCTCTGCGGATAAGAGGAGGATTCCGACCTTGCCTTGAGGGTGGAAAAGACACAGTAAGGCTCTGCAGGGCTTTGAGTGTCACCCATCAACGGCCTGAGCACTACATCTCAGAGGCGCGCTGAAGAAGTTGAGAAGGCCGACCCTGCGACGGAGCGAGGTGCAGGCAAGCCAGGCCAAGTGTTAGAGGTGGTGAGAGAGGAGAGACAAAAGAGGTAGGAAAGGCGAGACTTCCAGCCATGTGGCCTCGGGCTCAGGAAGGAGGGTTGCAGGACCATCCTTCATTATGCTCTCAGGACAAATGCAAACTTCTCACCTTCCCGCAAATGTGTTATCTCTGCTCTGATGCCTAAGAGGGCAGAACCATATCTGGAGGCCATAGGCATAGGAGAGGGAGCTTGATGCTGCTCTTCCCCCTGGGGAAGACTGTGAAAATCTCAGGACCCTCCGCGTCCCTAGAAATCCCCTGCTGCACCTTGAGAAGGTGCAGCACTTCCACTGGAATGCTCTTACTTACCCTTATCATCCTTCTATCATTTTTCACCCGATAATAAATAAAGCAAACGCCATTTTAGGGGTAACCTAAGAGAACAGTATGTTTTCTGCAGAGTGACATGTGCCAGGGGTCGCTCTGGAGTTGGTCTAGAGAAGGGACTGGGAGTAAGGGTCTCCATGTTCAAAGCCCCCAAGCCCTCCACCTGCCCTTTCAGATGAGTGGTACACAGCTGTCTCAGCCCCAGCCATCGCAGGCAGCGCTCTGGCGGGTGCCCCGTGTGCTCCCTGCTTGTGCGTGGGTGTCACCTACTTAGTCCTCATCCTGTTCCCTGCTCATCCCTCAGCCTTTTCCCTCGGCAATATGCAGTCCTTGCCACCGCTGGGACTCCTATGGCAATGGATTTGCCATATGTGGGATGGAAGACGTCCTGTCAGAGATGGACTAGTGAAGAAAAAGAAGAAAACAGTTCAAATGTTATAGAAACAGAAGTTTTTAATGTGGTTTTAACAGGTTTTAAAATGGTTTTTGCTTTTTCTGCAAGTCATTGCCCCTTCTTCCCGACACCCGCTGTGAAGGACTATTGTCTCCCATACAGGAGTATCCTGAGAAGATGTCCTGAGGTGTTTCTCATTGGTCGTTGTTAACCCCTTCCTATTGGCTGTTAACCTTTTACCTGATTGGTTTTTTCTGTGCCCCTGAACTTGTAATTGTTTCCCCTTTGACCCTCCTAAAAGCCTTATAAACCCCTACCCCACAATAAAGTTCCTCTTTCGTCCGTCCCTCCCTGGTGGTTTTTGTGGGTTCCTTGCGGGGTCGCCGGCCACGTGCGGGGGCGGGGGGAAGGGCATTCACCTCGCAGGTAATGGGGCTAGCACCCTAATGGCTGGAGGTCTCCCCCGTCCCACTAAGCCGTCGTAGACTCGGACATCCAGCAGTCCTGCTGGAGCCTTGTTCCTCTCTCACACTGTGCATTTTCCCAGCAAAGCAAGGCACAGCCAGAGACCCTGGGCTCCTGCCCAGCAAGGCTCATCTCCCGTTCCTGGGCAGCTGGGAGAGAGGCGTTTGTCCCAGGCGGACGAAGAAGGACAGGGATGAAGCTCCAGAGGCGGAGGAGACACGTCTTCCCCGAGGAAGCTGCAACCAGCCCAGAGAGAAAAGGAGAAGAGGCTGAAGGGAAGAGCAGAGACAGAGAAGGGGTCTGAGGTGTCTCTTCTTTCTCTCCTCATTTCCTTAGCCAAGTAAGATCGTCTGGAGTGAACACACGCAAGACAGCAAAGACGAGAAGATACTTTGCAAGGATTTTTCTTTCTTCGATGGTATTTCCACACACGAGTCTGAAAAGGCTGTTGAATATTTCCTGGGAGGAAGAAGGGGGCGTTGATGAAAAGCCAGAACTTAGTCACCAGGTGGCGCAGGCAGAGAGCGAGGACGAGAGAGCCGAGGTTTATGCTCCCACCAACCTGCCTGTTTGCTGAGAGAGTCAGAAACCACCTCCGAGTCCCGAGATAACAGAGTTGCCACAAACGACTCTCTTGGAGGAGCAAAGGTAGAAGGAGGGCAGCGAAACGAACTGTTCTTTCAGTGCCTGAAATGCATTCTTTGGGTTTCTCCCTCCCCCAGCAGCAGCCCCTGTGGCTCCCTCAGCCGACGGCTTTCTGAGCATTGCATCGCTCTGGGGCCTCACTCACGGGCAGGGGCTCTTCCCGGTCAGCTCGCACTGCAGTCCTCCCCTCCGCCTGCTCTGCGGCGCAGCCACTGTCGGGCCTGTGGGAACGCCGAGGCTTCTTGCCCGCTCGGGTTTCACATCTTCCCGTGCTGTCCTCAGCTCTCTGGGCTGGTTGCAGCTTCCTCGGGGAAGACGTGTCTCCTCCGCCTCTGGAGCTTCATCCCTGTCCTTCTTCATCCGCCTGGGACAAATGCCTCTCTCCCAGCTGCCCAGGAACGGGAGATGAGCCTTACTGGGCAGCAGCCCAACTCATCCACAGGGAACATCACCGCCTGCAGCAGGAGCACTTCTTCTGGGTGACACGTTCCTTTTGGGGTTTTCGTAGGGCTGTAGCACCAGTGCTACGGTGAGGCATTGTATGGGAGAAGCACCTTCCCCAGGGAAAACTCGGAGGTGGCATGGCATCTCGCACCTGCTTTGGCGTCATGGAGATGCAGTCTGCATTCTTGGAGCAACCGTGCCCCCCGGGAGAGGGTAAAGGCCCCGGAAAATGAACATTGCTGTTCTGTCCCGTGTCTCTGAAAATATCGCATCAGTTCCATGGACCTGCTTCCTAGACAGAAGGCTCCTAGCCTGCAAAGTCTGTATGGGTAGGGGGCGTCAAGGGTTTGGTGAACCTCTAGGTATACACCTGTGCTACCCTCCCATCTCCGCAGAGGTTTAACATGGGGAGAAATCATTGAGCTTTGTTCTCTCTTCTACTAGTACCTCAGCCCAAGAGTATCTCTACGGAGGGGGAGTTTGGCCTGGCTGAGCTCTCCCAGCAGAACTCCCTGGAGATGATCACATGGAACTCACTAGAGGGAAGAGAGGAAGCCCTCAGCTTCTCTGTCTCCAATCTGGACATGGCCAGTCTGTCAGGCATCCAGGTAGGGAGTTGGGCTCGTGAGCCTTGCCCACTCTGCACAGTCTCTGTTCGAAATAGGGTTTTTTTTCTTCATCCCTGTGGGAGAGAAGCATGTGGTCTGGAATGCACTTGACCCTTCAGTCCCAGTGACAGTTCCTAGGCTCTCAGACTGTGATTCCAGTGTGGGGGATAAAGGTCCTTGTGGGCTGAAGTCCAAAACTGTTGCCAGAACTCTGGCTTTCCCTCTGCAAGCCACAGGGGCTGTTCTTCCTCTCACAGTGCATCAACCTCAGGGCCGTGTCCCTTTCCTTCAGTCCCCCTTTGGGACAATGTCTCTACGGCTCTCAATCGGCACCTGGTCAATGGACTGCACAGGTACATTTGGCAGGGGCTTGGACAAGAGAGGGAGCTGTGTCCCTCCTGGCACCCCCAGCACTGCACTGGAAGCTGATCCATGCAGGTGGACACATGAGGGGGACAAGAACACTCAGTCTTTCTGCCTGTCCATGAAACCAACGTCATCCTTTTGAAGTCTCCAGCACTGGGAAGAGCAGGTGTGTGCTGGCGTGGAGCAGTGTGTGGGTGTGGTGAGGGTGGAGGGGCTGCCAGCCATGCTGAGGCACTGCCAGCATTAGAATTGAACTGAAGATGCAAATTTTGGTGATTCCGTCCTTGTTGGGCCCTGGAATTGGCAGCAGCAGAGCGAGAGTTTGATCTGTAGAGCAGCAGGAAAGGACGGCACAGGGGGCAGGTCGATGCTTCTTTCTTGAGCAGGTCTGTTGCAGGCTGGTACATAACTGTTCAACTGCACCGTCCTGCTTTCAACCCTGGCCAGCAACCAAGGCCCACACAGCTGCTCACTCACTCCCCCCTCAGCAGCATCCAGGAGACAACCAGATGGGTAAAAGCAAGGAAACTCACAGGGTCAGAAAAAGACAGCTTAATTGGGAAAATAGAAGGCATGCACAGAAGCAAAACAATACAAAAAATTTATTCCCTGCTTCCCATGGGCAGGCAGGTGTTCAGCTGCCTCCAGCAGAGCAAGTCCCCATCACGCATGATGGGAACTTTGGAAAACAAACACCATCATAACAAGCCTCCCCTCCTTCCTCCTTCTTCCCCCCAAGGTTTAAATACTGAGCGTGATGTCATAAGGTCTGGCATATCCCTTTGCTCAGTGTGAGTCACCTGTCCTGGCTGTGTGTCCTCCTAACATCCAATTCACCACCAATTTCCTTGCCAGCGTGGCAGCAGAAAAAGCAGAAAAAGCTTTTGCTCTGTGTAAGCTCAGCAATATTAAAGATGCCTCTGTATTATCAACCCTGGGTTCAGCACGAATCCATAAAACCAGCCCCATAGCAACCACTGTGAAGAAAGTTCACTCTACCCAGGCCAAAACCAGCAACATGCACTCAGGCTCCTCCTGAATCTGGGAAAATGCTGCTCTGTGTTGCTCACAGACAGAGCAGTGGAGTGTCCCCAGCACATTTCACTTGGTGAGTAACACACAAGGACACACACAGGGAGAGGCTCAGGCACGTTGATGTGACTCATGCACAAATCTGTGCTCCCACAGCGTTTCATGTGGAACCCAGCTGCACACAAGTGCACACAAACCAGGAAGCCATGTAGGAAAACAACCAACCATGGACTCTGCTGAGGACACCTGGGGACAAGACCGCAGGGCTGGGAAGGACAAGGCTCTAGGCAAGCCCGTGACACTGTTTGTGTGCTCAGAGACTGACCAGTGTGGGAGAAGTCAGAAGAGGCCCGAATACTTTCCTGAGGGCAGGACAGGGTCAAAGCAGCTGCCCAAAGCACACATGTAGAGAGGCAACAACCGCTGACCATTGGGGTGAGCTGAGGAGGGGGGGAAAGAGAATGACATGGCCCATCCTCATGCCCAGGAGTCCTTGGGTAGCCACAGATGATTGCTGCAGCTTCTTCCTGAGAACAGCACTTCAAATGAGCCCACCAGAGTGATCCAGACTGATGCATCATTTGCCTGCTCTGGATGCATCCAGCCCTGGAGCTGAGTCTACTCCTGACATCACTGAGTCCTTGCCCTGGAAATCCTGGAATATTTCATCCCAAAAACAGAAGACTACTTCACTGGGGCACGGGCATGGAAGAAATCTTGGAGGTGCAGGAGTGGCCCCTGTTGGCCCCGGCTGACGCTGTGTCCCCGGCCACAGCCCCGGCTCCTCTGGCCATGTCTGCCAGGGCGCAGGAATACATAACCGCATCCCCAACATGAGACCGGGAGAGGCACAGGGAGTTCCGGTGACGGTCTGGTGACACTGACACCCGTCCCGCCTTGTCCGGCGGATCTTTGGAGCCTTTGTGAATGCTCACGAGGAGTTCGGGGCCTCGGCCCGGCAGCTGACCGTACCAGTAGATCAATTCTTTTGACTGGATGTCGGGGTGTGAGCAGTTGCTGTTTATTTCGGTGCCCTCGGTGGTCTCGACCAACGGTTCCTGCTGCACCCAGGCTCTGCCTGCAGCCACTGCCGGGGAGAACAGAAGAATTACTTTTTTGCAGTGGAAAGTGCTGTGCAGGGGTAGAGGATGACAGTGCTGATGGGGATATGTGCTGAGAATAAAGTTTGGCCAGACTATCTCACAAAGAGTGGTTGGTTGTTGACAAGAATATGAGGTATGCTTTGAAGGAAAGTCTGAGTTAATAAGACGAGAAGGGAAGGAGGAAAAGAGCTTGGTTTGTAGGAATGGAGGGAGGGAAGGATGAATGGATGGATTAAGAAATAGAGTAAAAAAGATGGGAGAGCTGGGAGGGAATGGCTTCATGGAGGGAAAAAAGTACAATGGCAAAGGAGGGGACATAGGGTAAATTAGAACCGAGGAAGTGCGGGAGTGTCAGAGACCAGTCCTGTGCCCAGCCCCCGTCCCACAAAGCCCCTGGCCCCCATGGTCCCGCGCACCGAGCTGCACTGCCGTCAGCGCCGCCAGCGCCGCCTCCCGCCAGCGCCGCATCCCGCCGCTCCGACGGCCACGTGTCTCTGCCGCCACCAGCCCCGGCTCCGCCTCCTCTACCTTCTTCTCCCTCCCCTCCCTCCTCCGCCAAATCCGCCCCGGGGCTGAGCCCTGAGCCGGCCCCGCTCGGGCTGTCGCCGGGTGCGGGCTGGATGCGAAGGGGAGGTGAGAGTTGCTCCGCACCGCGGAGGCGGCAAGGCCAAGCTGGGTGGCAGGGGAGCGGGTTGGTATCGGGGAGCTCAACATTGACACGAACCCCCAGCCCTGGAGCCGGGCATGCCACGAACCCCCAGCATCTCCTGGGCCTGCGCAGAGTTCCTGTGAGGGGCACGGTAAAAGGGGTTTTCCAGCCTTTCAAGATTGGCGGAGTGGGGGATGGGCATGCCACAAACCCCCAGCGTCTCAGACAGCCCAGGGCAGAGTTCATGAGGAGGGCATGGTAAACTCAGCTCTTCTCGCCTTTTCAGGGCTTGACATCTTCAGCAGCACTGGAGGGAGCGATTGGCCCAGCTGCCCATCAGAGGTATAGTGCAAAAGTCTTGCAAAAGCCTGCAAAATCTCCTGGCAACCCTAGAATGCATAAATCATCAACCTGACACTACCCCGTGATTTATGCATTCAATAATTTCTCTTCTTTTGTCATTCACTCTGAATCTTCTTTGTGGGAGGTGCCTTTCGTACAGTGGACAGAAAGAGAGAAGAGTAAAGAAAAGGAAGAGATAGCACAAACCTTTTCCCAAGGCAATGCAATTCCCCCCCAAAAGAAAACACCTTACAGTAAAATAGTAAGAATATGGGATATAACAGGATCTTAATAGCTACAAATTTCCTAACATTAACAAGGTTACAGACATCAGGATTTAATCCAGACACAAATCTAATTTTCCTTAGCTACTGCCTCCACCCCGCGAGTAGTAGGTGTGAGGGATTCCGTAATAATGTGTCTGTTAGAGGGGCCGATGTGTCTTGAAATTGGACTTAAAATTACACATCGGTTTTTATGCAAATACATTAAATTACTTGGGAGTTGGTACAAGGCTTTCTTTTATTCTCTTCAGGTAACACTTTTGTTTTGTCTAGATGTAGTTTCGACTTAAAGAAATCCTTAAACAATATATATATAAAGCACTCTTCTTTTATTACGGCCGGGGAAATGCCGGGGGTTTTGTCCCTCCGTGCATGTCCGCTGAGAAAAGAAACACACAGCTTTTTATACAGTGGGTTTCAGAAATTACCTATCATATACACTCTTTATGAAATCTCTCTTATCTAAATAGACTTTTGGTTGCCTAACTCCTATTCTTACTGTTATAGAGTAGTTACACAAAGTTTTATCATTTCAAAGAGCTTAGGTTCCCCCCACCCCTCCTTCTGTCTCCCTTGCACGGTTATGTGCTAAAAGTCTTTCTCTCTTTCCTGACAGTCCTTTTGTTTACGTAAGCTAGCTTTATCTTAATTGCCCACAGTTTAGGTAGCAATCTTCTTTCAAGCAGCTACCTTTTGCGGAGTCACACTAACATAGCTACATTTGCTAACATAGTTAAATTTTTATTTTATTTTTCTTGTCTTTATTTCAATTCCCCCCTTTTCTTTTAACTAATGCAAATGCTTTTGCCTCATCGCCCTTTGTACAGTCCAGAGCACATGTACTTGTTGTGCTATAGTCTTAATTTCCCACCACATCCATAGATTGATGACTGTAAGGAGGAAAGCTGTCAGCATCAAAACCAAGACCGGGTGAATCAGGAAGTTAAACAACTGGGCTGGTTGTATATTGTATATATACCAATGATATTCTCTAGTCTTTGCCACTTCGGTAATGATGTTTTTAATGTCTGCCGTGTCATGTTTCACTTGCTACAGCATGTGACGTGAAGTAGCCTTTACCTTTTCCATCATTCTGTCCACATCAGGATGATAGAGCATTTTCTGTAGGATAATAATGTCCACACCTATTTGTAGTTTAGGCACTTCATGATATAACATATTTTTTTGAGATCAATTGCATGGTGGTCACAGGACTAGTGTAACTATAGTCACATCCTATTATTTTAGTAAAATTGCAAACACAGAAGTCAGTACCATTAGTTAATTCTTTACAATCATCAATAGTTATATTTGTGCAAGGTGTCCTGATGCATGCACATCCTTTGCCTACATAGTATACTTGAGGCTGTGCCTGTGTATTTGGGAACATTTCAAAAGGGCTTAGTCCTTCTTTAGTCTTAAGTTTGACCCTTATTCACAATAAGGCTAGAGGTAAGGCTTGGTACCCATGCAGGTTTACTTCTTGACATATTTTTTATTCATTTTCTCCACTTGACCTCTTGCCTGTGGTCGATATGGAGGATGTAATTACCAATCAATTTGCAGAATGCTGCTTATTTTTTAGTTATAAAATGTGGTCCTCGATCTGAGGAGATGATGTTGGGTACTTTGAACTTGGGGATAATTTCATTAAGTAGTACTTTGAGAACTTGTCAAGCCTTATTGCTTCGGGTCAGGAAAGCTTTTAGTCAACTTGAGAAGGTATCTTTTAGAATCAAGAGGTATCGGTACTTCTTTTTCTTAGGTAATTCTGAAATTCTGTCAGTGTTGCTTTGGGAGGTTACCCTTGACAACTGTCCCTATTTCTATTTTATTGGTTGTGTGAGGATTATTGTGTAGTGTATTCTCTAGGTGTTTATGCAGTGCATTTGTCCCAAATGAATTTCTTTTTTCTCTTTGTACAACTTTCTATAGTATCTTTTCAGGTATTACTACTTACCCTCTTTTTAAGAGGTATATATTACCTTTGAGTTGACTTTGTTGATTTTTTAATTTTAAATTTTCTTTTGAATACGATACATTAGAGTTAACCTCTATGATTTTGCCATCTGGGATTACGGATGCAAATCCTACCTGGCCGTATCTGCTGCCTTTTTCCCACTCGATCTGCTAACCGATTGCTTTTTTCCTGGTCCGTATTACCTTCTTGATGTCCTTTGCAAGGCATAATGGCAAGCTTTTTGGTATTTAAATAGACTTTAAAGATATCTTCAGCGTGCTTTATCTGTTTTCCTTCTGATGAGAGTTTGTGTTGCAGTTGGTGGGCCAGCCTGGGCACTCCATGGACAGCGAAAGCTGACCAAGGCACCTTTCGTCTGGGAGGAATTTTCGACAGTACGCAATTTTGGGAGACGGGCTAGAAATTTGAGAGCAGAATTGAAAAAAGGAAACAGCAGTTATCCCTAGGAAAGGAAGCCTACAAGCTTTGGCTTTCTGATACAGTTGGTGGGCCAGCCTGGGCACTCCATGGGAAGCAAGAGCTTTGTAGACTGGTCTATTGTGTCTGGGAGGAATCTTGGTTCGTGTAGAATTTTGTCAGGGAGAATGGCAGTTTGAGTGCAGGGCTGAGAACAGGAAACAATCGCCATTATCCCCAAGAAAGAAAGCCTTGAAGTTTTGAGTTTGTGTTGCAATTGGTGGGTCACCCGGGTCACTCCATGGACAGGAAGAGCTTTCTGTCGTGGCACCTTTGATTTGGGAGGAATCTTCGCCCATATGCAATTTTGGGTGTCAGGCTGGCAGTTTGATCTCAGGGCTGAAAACAGGAAACAACAGCCCTTCTGCTCAGGAAAGGAAGCCTAGAAGCTTTGGCTGTCTGTTGCAATTGGTGGGTCAGCCTGGGCACTCCATGGGCAGCAAGAGCTTTCTCTCATGGTCCCTTTGGTGTGGGAAGTATCTATGTCCGTATGCAATTTTGGGAGTCCGGCTTTCAGTTTCAGGGCAGGGACGAAAACAGGAAACAAGAGGTCTTATCCCCGGGAAAAGAAGCCTGGAAGATTTGGCTTTCTGGGGAAGTTGGTGGGCCAGCCTGGGCACTCCATAAGCAGCAAGAGCTTTGTAGACTGGCCTATTGTGTCTGGGAGGAATCTTGGTTCATGTGGAATTTTGTCAGGGAGGAATGGCAGTTTGAGTGCAGGGCTGAGAACAGGAAACCATAGCCATTATCCCCAGGAAAGAAAGCCTTGAAGTTTTGAGTTTGTTTTGCAGTTGGTGGGCCAGCCTGGGCACTCCATGGGCAGCAAGAGCTTTCTGTCGCGGTGCCTTTGATTTTGGAGGAATCTTCGTCCATATGCAATTTTGGGTTTTGGGCTGGCAGTTTCAGGGCAGGGATGAAAACAGGAAACAACAGCCCTTATCCCCGGGAAAGAAAGCCTGGAAGCTTTGGCTTTCTGGTGCAGTTGGTGAGCCAGCCTGGGCACTCCATGGGCAGCAAGAGCTTTGTGTACTGGCATATTTTATCTTAGAGGTATCTTGGTTCATGTGGAATTTTGTCAGGGAGGAGTGGTGTGGGAGGCGTGTCCAAGGCACAGGGTACGTGCCAGAGCAGAGGAGCCCAGGGGAGCATGTGCTGACATAGGTAACCTAATTGGTCAAAGAAGTCACATGGTGTTAAAGGATAAAACAGCGCCGATTTTAAAATAAGCTCTCTTTGTTCACCATCACACAAGGAGGTGTTTTTCCTTATTATATAAGGCATACGCCAACCCTACATATGGTGCACCCAAACTTGGGACTTTTTTAACTTATATTAAGTCAGATTAGATTATCCTGAATCAGGAAATTCGCCGGTAGATTCCGTTTATCGAGTCAATTGTTCCGACGCGGGAATCTTTTACTGCAAAAAATGTAGACGTCTGTAATCGTTGTCTCAGTGGCGTCTGAGAAATGGAAAGTTAGTTTAGGAGTTCCAAAATATTAGAAAAAGTGCACAATATGAGAAGAAGAATGAAGAAAAGAAGAAGCCGACAGATCGGGGCAGTCGGAGGGGCGGAATGGGGTCCTACATACACCGGAGCAGTGAGTTAGACTGAGAGGTAGCTTTAACATCTAACAGGTGGCAAGGACTTTTCCCTAACCGGTGCGGTGCCACGCAGCTCGGAAACCCGGGTGGCGGAGCACCTTAAAACCGCCAGGGGAAGCCCCGCTACCTGCCGCTTGCCACGGCTCGGCCG